TTCTTCTCATCTCAAAAAAAAAAAAAACTTTGATCACATTAATTGTGTTCGCAGAGGCAGAACAGGAATCACAGCCGTGACTTTAATTAATAATATTGATTCACAGCTATAAAACCGTCCCTGGGAGTCGTTCGCCCTAATGCAGAATGATATGCACGGCCTGATTAATGAACGCCGGTAATAAAGGAGTGCGACTTACTGAGAGCAACAGCAACAGGAAAAGAACAACACCGATGTCACTGTCTTTAACTATTTATTTATTTAATTTATTTATTTATTTTAATTGTTTTATTTATGAATCTATTTTAGTTATTGATTTTATTATTTAATTCATTCGCTAATTGTATCTTTTTCTTTATTTCATTTGTTTTATTTAAATTATTTTATTTTATTGCTAAAGCTAAAGCTAAACTCCGGCCTATTCATGTACCACAGCAGTGGGCAACTGTTTGTGCTTTAACTACAAATTCCAACAGGCCTCTGCCTCTGGGGGTCATGACTGTGGCTGTTGGAGTCTTGCAAAGCATCCTCCCCTTCAGTCTTCCATCTGACCTCCGTCCTTCCCTTCAGTCTTCTATCTGACCTCAGTCCTTCCCTTCAGTCTTCTATCTGACCTCCATCCTTCCCTTCAGTCTTCCATCTGACCTCCGCCCTTCCCTTCAGTCTTCTATCTGACCTCCGTCCTTCCCTTCAGTCTTGCACAGTTGTACCGCCTCATCTCCTCTTCCTCTGATATCACCGCACACTGGGAGCTTCTCACAATGTGCATTAGAAGCTACAGCAAGTCAGATAGAGGCCGCCTCATTTCCTGGCTGGAGGACGTCCAGTTTTATCTAGCTCTTTCCTCCCCGGCCTGACTGTCCCTGGCTCCGCCCCTTTTATTCCCTGGATGTCATTTTTTTCAGTCATGGGGGCTCAGCATCAAATGTGGGTGTCACCTGCATGCAAATACAGCCTGCCTAGGAACCCCCCACTCCTCCAGACTGACCCCACCCATCAAGGCATTTTTATATTTGCATAACTCCTCCCAAGAGCCGGCCCACTGTTTGCATACAATCTGGAGTCTGTATTTTCCTTAGCCGTGTTCTTCAGGCAAATTATGCGGCCGCGCGGATCCAGAGAGCAGCCATCTGATCAGGGACCCGCTTCTGCCTGTGCTGCTGCAGTGATCATGTGGCTGTGCAGGTGTTATGGTGGGCCGTGCGGACCCTCAGGTGGGCTACGGTGGACTATGAGGGGGCTACGGTGGGCTAACCCTACGTTGCTGTATAATGTATTGTGGGTATTTATAGTCCTCTATAGCTGGTGCCATTCTGCATTGCTTAAAGCCTGAAGACCCCCAGAAGGGCGCTTGGATGAATGTTCATAACTAAGACATTGGGTGGGTGGGCGAAAACTTTTGTTCTGCCCCGGGCATCTGTAGCTCTGGTTACGCCACTGTTGGGACCTAAGATTCAGAACTAAAACATTTCTTGCTGCCACCCCGAGCTTCAATACAAAGATGTTCCCTGGACACAATGGTGACAAACAACACTTCCCGAAAATGTTACATTGTAGCTGAAAAAAGGTTGATCAAAGATTCCTTGCATTGAAAATATTTTTTTTTAAAACCCATTTTCAGTCAAACCTTTTATATCTTGGATAGAGTGGAGAGTGATAATGACCTTCATTGCAGTCTGTGTCCCTGCTAAGGATATTGATCCTCAATAGCGGAGCTAAGGAACAAAGGGCCCTGGTGCAAGATTTTATATTAAAGGGTTATTAAACCCTCATTTGTTTTTGCATATATCTACGGCTAGCAAGCAGAACGATAAAAAAAACAAAAAACTTTTGCAAAGGGTTAATGCTTACCTATGTCTCCGCCGCGCGCTCCCGTCCGAACATCTGAAAATGTATCGGGCGGCCGCAAAGAATCTTGATGCAGGCGCATACGCAGTTCAGAGGTTCGGCCGGGAGACGAGCAGAGACGCAAGTAAGTCTATGGAGCAGCGTGCACCCGCACAGACACGGTGGGACATGAGAGAAGAGGACAGAGGAGTCAGCGCTGGATCGGAGACAGCTAAAAACTCCTGAAAAGAAGAAGATGATCGGATTAAGAGGCATGATTTAGGGCCGGTGCACACCTATGCGACACCACGCCATGCGGCAATCGTGCACGATGCCGCGTGGATTACCACGCGGTCATGAGTCATAAAGGTGTGCACAGATCGTGCTGTGGGTGCCATTATTTTCCAATGCCACCCCAGTCGCGCCGGGCGGATCACGCGGTTTCCCGCCACGATTCCGCCCTTGCTTCTGAACACAATCTACAACAACCGCGCATCATATATCACAGCAAAAAAGGTACAAGGACCTTTTTTCTGCGATACACGACATGCGGCTGTTGTAGCCGCGATCGTGTTCAGAAGCACTGGGGTGCCATCGGAAAATAATGGCACCCACAGCGCGATCGGTGCACACCTATACAACTCCTGACCGCGCGGCAATCCGCCAGGAATCGTGCACGATTGCCATGCGGTGTGATGTCGCATAGGTGTGCACCGGCCCTTAAAGGAGAACTATGGGGTCAGTGTTTTTCCCCATAGTTCTCCTAAGGGTCATGAGAGGACACAAACTAGCGACCTGCTGTCACCCAAAGCTCAGTATATACTGAGACCGCCGCAGCCGGGACGGATCCCGACATTACTGTTGAGATCCACCCAGCTGCGTGATTGACAGCTGGCTCTGCCTATCTGGAGGCAGAGCCAGCTGTACCCGCGCCCCCTCCCCCGTCCGTTCCGCCAGTCAGTGCTGGAGGATCGGAGAGGGGAGAGTAGCCGTGAGTGACAGTCACGGCTCTCTGCAGGGATAGATCGAGAAGTGAGCGAGCGACGGTATGTGTTCGCTCACTTCCCGATCTATAGAGCCGACCTGTGACAGTTTCATTGTCACGCGTCGGCTCGAACTGTGAGGATGACTGGAAATCACTCACCTCATAGTTCTCCTTTAATGTAAGTCCTTACATTAGAAGTGTGGGGTGGGGGGACTTTTGCTCTTAATGTCACTTTAAGTTAGACTTGGAAGACACAATCAGATGTAACCTAAATACATTGTTACAAAGAAAAAAAAAACAAGGTTTTAGAATCCCCAGTCATTTATTGGTTTCTGACAAGCTAATTATTCTGCACCTAAAAAAAAGAAAATGTGATATATGAATCTTGTTAATGAAGTCCTTTCAACCACATCAATTCTCTCTCTTCTACAGTGAAATAACAATGGTAAAAAAAAAATGTTGTAAAACCCATATTTACAAAACCTGTCATTTTTAATTTTAATTATTTAAAGCCTTATAATGTACAAAAGAGACAAGAGAAAAAAGTCATTTAATCACATATTTTTATATAACAAAATTCATGCCTCAGTAGTCCCAGAACAAAAGTCTTTAGTTTTATCCAAATTTCAATTTGGAAATATTCCAGAGATGGGCAAATCTTCTTTTTTTTTTACAAGTCTTTTTCAAAAATGGCACACGTAGAAGATAATACTTGACTGCATAGCCATACAGCAGCAAGATATGTGAGGAGGAAAAATACCTCCCATTTGTTTATTTTATTTTTTTTCGATTTTTTTTATTTATTTTTATTTAGAAAGTTTTCTTTGTAAATAACAATCTGTTTTACGTATTGTCTGTCATCCGGTAGAGTGGCACGTTCTACCACCAAATAGACCTTGAATGTCCCGTGGTTCCTTTCCTTTTTGTTTCGCTCAGTGTCAGAGGCAATATTATAAAAATTGATATCAATTGATAATCTATATTACCCAGGTTTTTTCAGAAAACGTGGTCCCACCCTCGCCCCTCCAAAAAATGCAAACGCCGGGAGATGTGAAGCAAATAAAACAGCATTTCCATGATGTCTCTGGTAATCTCAAACGCCACTAAGAAAACATTGACAAAGGGAAAAAAAAAAAACTGTAAACTTAAGTCCCCCAAATCCACCGGGGTGATGTTTCTGCTACATAAAAGTTCTGATTTATAAAAAGAGAACATGAGAAAAGTTTTTGTTTTTTTTAAAAAAAGCAAAAGTGAAAATATCTGAAAAAGAATAAAACGGCGTCCTTCAAAAAAACAAAACAAAAAAACTAAAGCAAGATGATGAAAAATGGTCAAGTCTAAAAATGAAGTTCCGCTGCAAAGCTTTCTGGTTAATGATGTTAGAGAGCTTGTGTTATTGTTTTGTCCTCCTTTGTGCTGCCGTCGCCGGTGGATCAATCTCATTCGGTGCGCCGCTAAAACCCACTGAAGGTGTCTTTTTGATATAATGCCGCCGTTGAGTGCCGCTAGCCAGCTGGTTGTTCAATCTAGTCTTGGAGCACTGCAAGCCCGTTGAGCTCTGTTACTTAGGTCTTCGTATCTGAGCATAGATAGGATCTTCTGATGTGATCTGTGGACAATAGAAAATAATTATTGGCTCCTGCAGCGACAACTACAGATTCCCGAGTCTGTTTATTACCTATCAGACCTTTGCGATCATTACATATTTTCTTGGGAATATGCGAGGAACGCGACTTACACCTACTAACCTATGTCTATGTTGTACCTGGACTTTCTACTAGGAGGTATGTTTATGTGAGCCTTCCATGACCTGTTATGCCACCTACTATCTCTCTGCAATGTCACTTCATGCTGATTGTTTTTACATACAGTTGATTAAAGGAGAACTATGGGGTCAGGGCTTTTCCTCATAGTTCTCCTTAGGGTAACGGGAGGACACAAACTAGCGTCCTCCTGTCACCCTTAGCTCAGTATATAGGGAGCTACAGCTCGCGGTATACTGAGACGCCGGAGCGGATCCCGACATCGATGTCGAGATCCGCCCAGCTGCGTGAGTGACAGCTGGCTCTGCCTATCTAGAGGCAGAGCCAGCTGTACCCGCCCCCTCCCCTGTCCGTTCCTCCAGTCAGCGCTGGCGGATCGGAGCGGGGAGGGGGGAATCCAGCCCCTCCCCTGTCACGGCAGAGAGCCGTGACAGGATCGAGAGGTGAGCGAACGCCGGTATGTGTTCCCTCACCTCCCGATCTACTGAGCCGTCCTGTGACAGTCTCATTGTCACAGGTCGGCTAGAACTATGAGGTTCACTATGAGAGTGAAAAGCACTCGCCTCATAGTTCTCCTTTAATTGATGACCTGATCTATTGCTGCATACAGTGTAGTTTATTACTTGCCTTCTATCTACAGATACTGTTTGTGTATAGTTAGTAGGTCTTTTTTTTGTGGTTTATATATCTGTGTTGTATTCTTTTTGTTTATTATTTATGTTCTATTGGCAAAATCTAATAAATTCATTGTTATAAAAAAAAAAAAAAAAAAAATTATTGGACGGGCTTCATGAAAACTTGGGGATAGATGTTATGGTGGACACCTTAGTTCTCCACCATAGGAGGGATGTCTTTGGCCTAGGGGGGCACAACTACAACTAAGTTACCTTTTTGCGGTAGGGACAGCCAGAAGGCAGACCAGTGTGCCATGGCACCCTGGCTGAGAAAGGCTGATGTAGAGGGTGCAGATGACACACTGAGAACTGCTACATGGCAAACTTCTTAGCAGCTGGTGGTTGCAGTAAATCCATCATCTACATTATCAAACACTGTAAGTCGTGAAAAAGGGGCACTTCAAGACCCTCCGAAACACGTTTGCATATTTCTTATTTTTTAGTGGACTGCTTTATTGCAATACACACTTTAGGACTCCTAATTGGGACTCTGAATTGTTTTATTTTGGCTTTTTACTGCTGAGTCTATCACTGATGGTGTCATGTGAGATTCCTTCTCATTCTCTGTCCTGGTGATCACACAGGAATTAAAGGAGAACTATGAGGTGAGTGCTTTTCACTCCCCTCATAGTTCTAGCCGACCTGTGACAATGAGACTGTCACAGGTCGGCTCAGTAGATCAGGAGGTGAGCGAACACATACCGGCGTTCGCTCACCTCTCGATCCTGTCACGGTTCTCTGCCGTGACAGGGGAGGGGCTGGATTCCCCCCGCTCCGATCCGCCAGCGCTGACTGGAGGAACGGACAGGGGAGGGGGCGGGTACAGCTGGCTCTGCCTCTAGATAGGCAGAGCCAGCTGTCACTTACGCAGCTGGGCGGATCTCGACATCGACAGCGGTATACTGAGCTTAGGGTAACGGGAGGACGCTAGTTTGTGTCCTCCCGTTACCCTAAGGAGAACTATGGGGACAAGCCCTGACCCCATAGTTCTCCTTTAAGGGATCATTTTAATATCATTAATTAAAAATCAGCTGAGGTTAGATTAGAATAGATTTTGCAGCTGTCACCTTTTGACACACGTGGGGATCCTGTATAAACTTTCCGCACAGTGTGAAGCTGGGTGAATGCCGTTCACATGGCATTACCGCCACTAGAGTGCAGTAAGGAGCAAAGGAAATTCCTATGCTCCGCCGCACCATCTAGTGGTGGTAATGCTGTATGAATGGCATTTGCCAAGCTTTACATTGGGTGGAAGGCTTATTCATGAGCACCATGGTGTCACAAGAAATGAAGGGAAATCTTCTCAAAAGGGACCAGCAATAAAAGTTGATATGAGTTCTAACATGTTCCCTCTATAACCAAAAATAAAAATAATATTTGCCTGGAGTTACAAATTCACACAGATACATGCATCATTGCTCATTTAACAACCTCTGGGTATCAAAGCATCATCTTAGGATACATATTTTACTGTTGAAACATGCCGATAGACTGGACACATGCAAATAAGACATCACAAACGGTCACATGACTCAACAGCACCACGGACAGCACACTCTGCCAGCAAAGCAATAAAAGGGGAAAGGAAGACCGTGCAAACAGAACACAACAGCAGGAAGAGAGAAAAGGACAGGTACCTACCCCAGTCTGTGCTATCTAGCTACCGACCTCGGGGCTTATTGTATCACCACTGGATTCGCCCTGGTCAGTGCAGGAAGACGCCTGAGGAGCATCAGGCTAAAACACAAGAACACAATAACTGGTATTTTTTTCTCCCAAAGATAAGAAAAAGCTCAAAGTTTAGTAGAAGTTTAGTAGAAAAGAAGTTCAAGTTCAAGGTCAGTTAGGCAGAGATAGCGAGCAACTTTTTTCCCCATAGATCCTCCAACATTTAATACCAAAATGTCACTTTCAAAAACAACAAACTGTTGGACTAAAAGTCTTCCCGCAAAGGACATATCTGTAAATAAGACGCTGAACATTTACCTGTCCTGCCACCTGTCATCGCTTGATGCTGCGCCCCCTGCAGAGATATGGTCCTCTGAAATCCTCTGGAAAACCGACACTTTCTGGAGTGCCAATTTCAGGGGGCCCTCTGTAGCCCTCATTGGTTCCTCTCTCTGACCTCACATCACTACTTTGTCCTACAGTGATGTGAGGTCAGAGGAGGAACCATAATGTGCTGCAGGAAACCCAGAAGAGAGAGACGTCAAGAGGCGGGGTGACACCCCGCACTGTACGGCTGTTACCTGCCAGCGGCCATCTTGGTGATGGACGCCGGCAGAGAGAGGAGGGAACATTCACCCAGTGGGATAAGGTATGCCACCGGGTTCCCTTCTCTCTTGAGCAGCTGTTGTGCTCTCGGCCCATGACTGAGTGCCCGAATTTTCAGAGGGGGGTGAGACCAAAATGACTGTCCAAAGGTGTCACCCCCTAGTGACACCACTTCCAGGAGATCAACAATCCTGAAAGCAATGGTTTCCGAGCGGACTTCGGGGGGCCAGTTCTATGCAACGGAGCAGAGTTGAGTGGTGTAGGAGACATAGGTATTCAGCCTCTTCTTTATACATATGTTGTACCAGTGGAGAAGCTAGACATTCTGTCACCCAGGGCAACGCCTTAGAGTTGCTGCCCTCAAGGGAGAAGTTCTCCATCCACACACCCAGTGGCACCCCTCCTAAAGCAGCACCCGGGGCACATGTCCCGCCAGCCCCCCCTAGCTGTGGCCCTATGTTGTACATATTAAAGGTTTTAGTAAATGACAGGGTCTCTTTTCTCAAAGTCTAGTTTAAATCAGCTAAACACATTCCAGGTGCACCAAAACATAAAGTGTGCAAAGTCTTACAGATTGTTATTTGTAGAAAATAAACCACATCCCATGTAGAGAATCATGACCCATGCCCCCTGCTGCAGAGAAGGACCTCTGCTCTCTGTCTGAAAGCAGTGACCTCACTGCAGAGGTCTGATACCCCTTCCTGCTGAGTCAGAGTGCCAACAGTTCTTGGCCTTATGGATTGATGGTGGACTGTGGTATGGGGCTTCATCTCTTGACCTCATATGATTTGTAGTTGCACCACAGCTGGAGGGCCGGAGTTTGCCCTCCCCCGATCTACAGTATGTATGTTTGTTGTAAAAAAAACCCTTTTTCAATACATAAAATATGGTTTATAAAAAAAAAAGAGCTTTCCCTTAGGGTACCCGGATCCTAATTTATCTGCAATGTTATATTCTCAACATAATCAAAGATTTATTTGCGGTTCCGACAATCTTCACGCTTCTGTTTTTCAATGTTATCCACAAATCTTTTATAATAAAACTCCTTACACGCCAAGATCTGGATTCCGTCCCACTTCAGCACAATACAATGTCACAGCAACTACCATACCCGAGACATCAAACAGGCTCGTAGCTCAAAGCGACCCGACGCTACATCCATCAGTATCCTTTTATTGTAGAATTTGTGTTCAGTGGCTCGGTATTGTCTAGGGGGGGGGATTGTTATTTGAATTGTCTTCCAGCTACTTACTGCATCTTGTTCGACACTTTTGCTGGGACTTTCAAAGCCTTCTTCAAAGATGTCGTCCGGAATGGGATCGCTGGTGTGAGACACTGAAGACTTTGATGGTGAGCTCTGCCTCGGAGCCGGCGTGGGCGCTGGCAAGGGATGACATTGGAAACGTTAAAAGACACGGCCATGTACCAGAGACATGAAAAATAAGAAACAGCAGAGCGGAGGAAGAACTCTGGGCTAAAGTCTATCTAAACCCAAGAACAAGAATGGTATACAGTATACTGCAGCCTTGTCCGTTTTTATTTTTTTAGCATGTCAAATTTTTATTGAAAGACATAAGAAGGAAACATTACACCAAGATCTTTTGTCAGTACAAAATCATGTGTCATATTTCAGTTCGCAGACTAAGATCCATACTTGTACCATTAAGTATATACACACACTCTAAAGAAAGACAATAACACAATGGAAAAAGTGTGATTTCCGACCAAGACCTTATGATGGATGTCCCATCGCTTGTGAACTGTATGTCCCTGTAGCCCCTAGGGTCGGTACTGTTGGGAGGAGGCCCGTTTGAGCCAGTGAGGGTAATTGTAGTTGTAATTGTAATTTTGGGCCTATGGAGGGGCATTATCTTCCTACTGCTTGTGGCAACCGTGGTTCAGGGCTGGGGGTCAGGGCTCAGGACGTCTAATGGTCCTAGGATACCGGTCAGCTTTGCATCAAGGTACCATTTAGAGAACTGAAAAATGGACATCAAATCTTGCAGCTGTGGCATTGTAAATGCCGCTGCCACATAAGATGTCCACGTGTCGAAGAAAAGCTTTGTTTGTGCATGGTTAAATTTCGTGTCCAATTTGTCCAGCATTAAAATACGGTTTATTAGGGGGAGAAATGTTTCTATAGAGGGGGGTTCCGGATCTATCCATTTGCATAGTATTGCCTTCTTAGCCGTCAGAAGACAGATATGTTCCCAGCGAGTTGGGCAAGAGGGAGGACTATCCATGGACTGTGGGAGAGCGTGCAGTAAGCAAAAGGCTGGGGACATTGGTCTTAACTTATGTGAGTGAACATTCATGAAGGACAAAATGGCAGACCAGAAGGTTTGTATGTGGGGGCAGACCCACATTAGGTGAGTGAGGTCAGGCAATGGATGGCAGCATTTCGGGCAAGCGGTTAACCACTTGGACTGGGGACCCTTAGTGGGGATAATGATGGCATGGTATGCTCTGTGGACTGTTCTAAAGTATACTTCTCGCCAATTTTCATTAATTATCGCTTTCCTCACTTGTCGCCATCCCTGTTCCACTAGTGATATTGTGTCGTCATTGGTCATGTTCAGAAATTCTGCCCAGCGTGCAGCCTTGTCCTTAAAGGAGAACTATGGGGTCAGGGCTTTTCCCCATAGTTCTCCTAAGGGTAACGGGAGGACACAAACTAGCATCCTCCTGTCACCCTAGGCTCAGTATACCACGAGCTGCAGCTCGCGGTATACTGAGACGCCGCAGCCGGAACGGATCCCGACATTACTGTCTGGATCCACCCAGCTGCGTGAGTGACAGCTGGCTCTGCCCATCTAGAGGCAGAGCCAGCTGTACCCGCCCCCTCCCCGTCTGTTCCGCCAGTCAGCGCTGGAGGATCGGACAGGGGAGGGGGGAATCCAGTCCCTCCCCTGTCACGGCTCTCTGCAGGGACAGATCGAGAAGTGAGCGAGCGATGGTATGTGTTCACTCACTTCCCGATCTACTGAGGCCAACCTGTGACAGTTTAATTGTCACAGGTCAGCTCAGATTATGAGGCTGAGTGAAAATCACTCGCCTCATAATTCTCCTTTAAGTATGGCGGCTGTATTCATCTTTTTTTAGGTTTCTTTCTCTTTATTTTATCATTTCAATTGATTTTAAAGGGTTTCTGACAAGAACAGGAATGTTTCTGTAGAAGATGTACGTACTCTTACTTACAAATCGAACCAGAACCAAAAAACAGCCATCACACCTAAGGACCAGTAAGCTCCAATATATTCAAATGTTCTTGGGTCTGGAAATACTTTACTCTCCTGGTTTGGACCCGATGGGAACGGCCACACACAAGAATACAGATTAAAATTCTTGGAAATTCCTGACATTAGCTAGATTTTCTACCAAGAAAAAAAATGGCCATGCTATAAACCCTTGGTTCTCAACTGGTGGGTCGTGACCCAAAAGTGAGTCGCGACCCCGTGTTCAGTGGGTCGCCACATGCCTTCCACTTTTCCAGTGCAGCACTGTCAGTTCTTGTGCCAAGCAGCCATTCAAAATATGCCGGAGTGTCAGCTTCAGATGGGGTTATGGCCGCGAGGGAGCTCCATCCATACGAGCATTGCTTACAGCTCCCTCACGTGTCCTGTAGAGGTGCCTGGACCGGAGTGACGTCACAGTCTGGCTCCCGCCACCTCTACAGGGCGTGCAAGGGAGCTGTACAAGCAATGCACATATGGATGGAGCTCCGTCACAGCACAGCAGCCCACACTGGACCCCAGGCTGAGGATCCACTCCAGTTCTTGTAAGGTAGGGAGACTGGGTGTACTGACCACGCGTTCTGGTGTGGGAGGTGTGTTGCCATTAATTTGAACGGCACCCCAAACGCTCCTCCCACCCACAGTTCGAGCGCCTGCACCGGAATGCACGGTACCGCAATGCTGTGCATCTCATTGCAGTGCGACTTCGGTCACGACTTTATGACCAAGGGCAAATGTGGGTCCTGAAGTTACACAGGTTGAGAACCACTGCTATAAACCATTTTCAGTGTAAATAACAGTGGACGTTTTATCATACAAAAGCTTTTTTTTGTTCGTCTCAATATTGCCAATACAGACTACAAACTAGGGATGTGTAAATCTCCTGGGTTCAGTTTGCGGGAGACTGCCCTGATCTCAGCGGCAAACCCTATTAAAGTCTATGAAGAGGGAAATCCTCATAATAAAATCCGGCCTTCTTCAAAGCTAATAGGAAAGCGGAGGACACGGAGGACATGTACCAATGCAATTGGTACATGTTTTGATGCTTTGAGGGCAAAAAATACAGAAATACTTTAAACAACATGCTTGAGTGATGCCTTAGGGCTTGTTCGCACCATATACAGTGTGCATTTCATCCCGGGCCGGCCGCATTCCATGTATCGCATCCCGGTCGGCTTCCTGCATTCAGGAGAGGGAGGGGTGGTGCATTGAGGTCAATGGCACTGCAGCCACGCCCCCTGCCCGAAGTGTGATTGCCCGCACCAGAACGCGTGGCAAAACAATAACTGCGTTCCGATCCAGTTGGATCTAAAAAAATTGTGCATGCAGCATTTTTTCAGATCGCACTGGACTGGATCGTAGGCATTAATGTGCCACACGTTCTGGTGCGGGTGATCGCACTGCGGGCGGGGGCGTTGCTGCGCTGCCATTGACTTCAATGCACTGCCACGCCCCCCTTCCGCAGGATGCGATACAGTGCGTTCCAGCAGCTGGAAGCACTGTATGTGGTGTGAACAAGCCCTTAAAGCTGTATGTGGTGTTACAGAACAGTATGATATTCAAGGACGGTCTCAGCGTCAGTGTATACTGGCAGCCCGTATTTGGCTGCGGCATTAACTTCTTTCTTTTACAAAAAGCTTGACTTACGTACAGCAGCAGCTTTGCCCCCTAATCTGAGTCATTTCAGTTCAAATAAAGTAATCACAAAATAAAAAAAAACTGAATAAAAAAGAGCATGGGGGTTCCCCCGAAAATTCCTCCCAGACCCTCATCCATGCATGCAACCTGGGTGGCGAGTAAAGGGGGAGGGAGGGCTCATTATTACCTTCTATGCTCCAAGAAGGATGTGGGGTAATAGGGGGGCTGTGGAATCTGGAAGCCTCCTTTTATTATAAGGGGGTACCCAGATATCCCCGCCCCCTCCCGGAGGAATGAGTACAGGGGCATTTTTATAGGATACTATACCTGTTGTGGGGATGGAGTGTCACGCCCTGACACACACACACAGCAATAAAAGCCTAAAAGAAGTTCCCGCTCTAACAAATGTTTTAGTTGACATTACAATTTCGGTTTTCATTATTATTATTAATTTAATAATTGGGACTATTCTAGAAACTTTTAAAAAAATTTAAAGGAGAACTACGAGGGCAGTGCTTTTCACTCACCTCATAGTTCTAGACGACCTGTGACAATGAGACTGTCACAGGTCGGCTCAGTAGATTGGGAGGTGAGCGAACACATACCGGCGTTCACTCACCTCTCGATCCTGTCACGGCGCTCTGCCGTGACAGAGGAGGGGCTGGATTCCCCCTCCCCGCTCCGATCCGCCAGCGCTGACTGGCGGAACGGACGGGGGAGGGGGCGGGTACAGCTGGCTCTGCCTCTAGATAGGCAGAGCCAGCTGTCAGTCACGCAGCTGGGCGGATCCAGACATAATTGTCGGGATCCGCTTCAGCTGCGGCGCCTCAGTATACCGCGAGCTGTAGCTCCCTATATACTGAGCCTAGGGTGATGGGAGGACGCTGGTTTGTGTCCTCCCGTTACCCTAAGGAGAACTATGGGGAAAACACTGACCCCATAGTTCTCCTTTAAGGGGTACAGATATGCAGCCCAGATAGAGAGATAGATAGAGAGATAAATAGATAGATAGATAGATAGATAGATAGATAGATAGATAGATAGATAGATAGTTTTCCTTTAATAATCAAGGAAAGGGTTACTTTTATGATTTATCAAAAGACCAATATACAGTATGCACCTATTTTACAAAACAATCACTTTTTAGTGTGTTTAATAATGGTGTGTCTAGAGCCCAAACTTTTTGTATTATAGTTTTGGATAGAGTGGGCAGTGGGGGGGATGGGGTACTCATCAAAGCCTGTCTTTGTCCACTTGGGAAGATTTTCCTTCCAGTCTTGGAAATACAACAAAACATAAGAGGAAATAAGGGGAGAGCCCCTCTTAGTAAGTTATCAACTTCTGTTTCCGTGACAACTGTAACATTTCGGATTTGTCATCACCTCTTGTCCCAATGACATTGGAGAGCGCCGATTCTCCCCATGGGAACTCAACCAGCGGTGACAAAAGTTCTCCCCGCACTATCCATCAATAGAAAGCAAAATGGTGCTGGTGGCTACACTTTAAAAACCCTTTTTTTTTAAATTGCTTTTTAAAGTACCCATTAGAATGTCTCTGACAATGACTTTGAGACGGAGTTCCATTTTTGGAGGGCACGGCGAGGTGGAGACGAGGAGAAAAAAAATCATTTGTTAGTGAATAGATAAAAGGACACAGACTGTTATGAAATCCATATTTCATTTTGTATTACAGATCTTTCTGCCAGAAGTGTAACAGACTCCATCAAATTCCTCTTGGAGTCACTGGCTTGTAACTAATAATTTTCCCGGGCCGCCTGTTTGCTGTCTAAATGTGTTGAGAAGCATTTTTCATAGAGGAACAAACACATTCATTATAGAGTGAAGTTCTGTGACGGAAGAAGTATTTCAATGCTTTTATTCTATCTATCTATCTATCTATCTATCTATCTATCTATCTATCTATCTATCTATCTATCTATCTATCTATCTGGGCTGTATATCTGTACCCCTTAAAGGAGAACTATGGGGTCAGTGTTTTTCCCCATAGTTCTCCTCAGGGTCACGGGAGGACACAAACTAGCATGCTCCTGTGACCCAAAGCTCAGTATATCGCGAGCTACAGCTCCCTATATACCGAGACCGCCGCAGCCGGGACGGATCCCAACAATACTGTCGAGATCCACCCAACTGCGTGATCGACAGCTGGCTCTCACTATCTAGAGGCAGAGACAGCTGTTCCCGCCCCTTTCCCCGTCCGTTTTGCCAGTCAGTGCTGGAGGATCGGAGAGGGGAGGGGGGATCCCTGCAGGGAGCCGTGAGTGACAGTCACTGCTCTCTGCAGGGAGATGATCGAGAAGTGAGCGAGCGGCGCTATGCGTTTGCTCACTTCCCGATCTATTAAGCCGACGTGCGACAGTTTTATTGTCACACGTCGGCTCGAACTATGAGGATGAGTGATTTTCACTCACCTCATAGTTCTCCTTTAAAGGGATTTCTTAACAAAGTTTTGTGAGAAACTCTATAGAGTTTGGTAATAAAACTTTTTTGAAAAAGATAATTTTATATATGATTTTTGGCCTGTTTATAAAAAATGTGCAGGATCGTTTGCCCTGTGAATATCTGTGATCATTTGCTCTGTGCGAATGTATGCCAAAACAAATGTTCTTTTTGGGGTTTTTTTTTTCCTTTACAAGTGGAATGATTTTTAAAATGCTTTCATGTATAACGCCAATATGACCTCTAGATGTTGCTAAAGTAACACAGGAAATAAGTATTTATGTTCTATGCTACTCAGCACCACCTAGTGGCCATATTGTTGTATTACATGAAAAAAAAGTTGAAGATGCACTATATTGCCAAAAGTATTGGGCCCCTCCCCCTCTAAATCATTGGATTCAGGTGTTCCGTGAAATTTCCTTGCTACTAAATTTTCCGCAGTCACCTGTTAGTGGGATTATAACAAAGTGGAAGCAACTGGGAACAACAGCAACTCAGCCAGGAAGTGGTAGGCCACGTAACATGACAGAGCGGGGTCAGCGCATGCTGAAGCACACAGTGCGCAGAAGTTGCCAACTGTCTGCAGAGTCAATAGCTACAGACCTCCAAACTCCATGCGGCCTTCAGATTGGTACAACAACAGTGCGTAGAGAGCTTCATGGAATGGGTTTCCATGGCCGAGCAGCTGCATCCAAGCCTTACATCACCAAGTGCAATGCAAAGCGTGGGATGCCGTGGTGTAAAGCACGCCGCCACTGGACTCTAGAGAGGTGGAGACGTGTTCTCTGGAGTGACCAATCACGCTTCTCTGTCTGGCAATCCGATGGACGCGTCTGGGTTTGGCGGTTGCCGGGAGAACGGTACTTGCCTGACTGCATTGTGCCAAGTGTAAAGTTTGGGGGAGGGGGGATTATGGGGGGGGTGTTGTTCAGGGGTTGGGCTCAGCCCCTTAGTTCCAGTGAAGAGATCTCTTAAGGCATCAGCATACCAAGACATTTTGGACAATTTCATGCTCCCAACTTTGTGGGAGGAGTTTGGGGATGACCCCTTCCTGTTCCAACATGAACAGGAAGGGGTCATAAAGCAAGGTCCATAAAGACATGGATGGGGGAGTTTGGGGGGGAGGAACCTAACTGTCCTGCACAGAGTCCTGACCTCAACCCGATAGAACACCTTTGGGATGAATTAGAGCGGAGACTGCGAGCCCGGCCTTCTCCCCCAACATCAGTACCTGACCTCACAAATGGTCCAACATTCCCATAGACACACCCCTAAACCTTGTGGGCGCCTTCCCAGAAGAGTTCAAGCTGTTATAGCGGCAAAGGGCGGAGCCAACCCAATACTAAACCCTACGGACTAAGACTGGGTTGCCATTAGAGTTCATGTGCGTGTAAAGGCGTCCCAATACTTTTGGCAATATGGTGTATATTCCCTTGTAAAGAAAGAACTAAAGAACATTAATTTTAGCATTTATCTACCACAGAACAGATATTCACAGGGTGAACATGCCTGTGAATAGTTTATAAATAGACAACTTTGAGTCCCTTACGCCTTATTTTCCTCTAATCGAAGTAACAAGGGATGGTAACATTTGAGTTCCAGATGCAATTCTTAAAACAGCCCAGTGTACCACTTTTATCTCAAATATAATATATACAGTATATTCCTCACTCAGTGACAAATGAACCCGTGGCGTCTCAGTCGTCTTTTATTAATGTTCAGCCCAATACGACTCAAACGTGAAATAAATAGAGTTCCTAAAATGAGTTGCAAAGTTCCTAATAAATCAAACGTCACTCGGCGTCTGTTGCGAAGCATCAAAGCTAGAACTTTTTTTGAAAAATTATCATTTATATATATATTTTTTTATATTTTGTTGTTTAGTAAAGAAAAACTCTGGATGAAGCCAATAAACATAACGTCGTAGCGACCAAACCAAAATGAGGGGTAATCCACCATGTGTCGTGTCCTACAAAACCTTAAATCTACATAGAAGTATAAAAACAGCACCCAATAAAAAGGCTCCATGGTAGAAACCCGACAGAATATAAGGAAAAAATACAAGACAACCGCAAAAGGGAAGTTGTAGGTGAAAAACTAAAAGGGACTATTCATTCAAAACCAAAATACAACTCATTTCTTGTGAGCTCAGGGAGTCTGTTAGTGAGATCCCTGCGATGAGTTCCCGGGTCTGTGCACCTGCTGTTCCCATTATGAGGGGTTCCCACCATCCCTTCCCTGAGTCCCTGGGTCTGTACATCTGCAGTGCCCATTGTGAAGGGTTTTGCACCATCCCCGTGCTGAGTTTCGGTTCTGTACACCTGCTGTGTCCATTATGAGGGGCTCCCATCATCCCTGTGCTGAGTTCCCGGGTCTGTACACCTGCTGCGCCCATTATGAGGGGGTCCCACCATTCCTGTGCTGAGTTCCCGGGTCTGCACACCTGCTGTGCCCATTATGAGGGGGTCCCACCATCCCTATGCTGAGTTCCCGGGTCTGTACACCTGCTGTGCCCATTATGAGGGGCTCCCACCATCCCTGTGCTGAGTTCCCAGGTCTGTACACCTGCTGTGCTCAATATGAGGAGCTCCCATTATCCCTGTGCTGAGTTCCTGGATCTGTACACCTGCTGTGCCCATTATGAGGGGCCCCCACCATCCCTATGCTGAATTTCCAGGTCTATACACCTGCTGTGCCCATAATAAGGGGTTCCCACCATGCGCATGCAATATTTATTTATTTTATCTTAAATGTGATAGCTGGCAGTTGAGTGCGAACACCCAAAGCACTCAGGTGAAGAGGAGCAGCGTCAGGAACTATGGCAGGGAAATCACAGCATTGGAACATCTGAGAACTACATGAAGTCATGGGCGTGACTCAGCCCACCAGGATCCGCCTATAGCTAAGATATCTCTTTTGGGTGAACTGGCCCTTTAACAATGAGATGAAATAACAGAAACCAGTGACAATATTTTCATTCACTGTAATAAAAAAGGAATTTGTTGTTGAAGAATGCTACACGTATTCAATGCCCTTTGTGCTGCCAAAAGGGAGGCCAACAAACTGTAACACTCACGTGAATTAGTTGAGGGCGAAGTGGAAGTCATGGGTGTAAGGTTCAACTGCGAGATGTCAAAGTCGTCGCAGTCGTCCGTATCTTGCACCAGGCCAACTTTGTCGAAGTAGCTTGAGAAGGCATCTGAGGTACACAGGAGGGCAGGCTGGTCCGGATGTCTCGATGGCACCGGAGGGGGGTTCACCATCTGGAAATCCTTAAACATCTCCTGTGTTACTGTCTGATCTGGCCGCAGGGGGCTTTGTCGCATGGAGTCGCTGGAGGGCGGCACAGCGGCTACCGGGGCGGTACTACCTTGGAACATGGCTGCTTGGAAAGGCAATACAGTCTGTGTTGGCATGAAGGCAGCGGGTGGAAACTGACCGGGCAGGGTCGGCCACTGTTGCTGAGTTGTGGGGTAAAGGCCTGGCGGGGCCCATGCTATCGTCTGGTTTCCCTGCATAACCTGAGGAATGGCGGGCTGCCCACCCAATACCATCTGCGGCTGTATCAATGGTTGTTGTCCCCAGAAAGATGGCTGGACGGCTCCCATTGCAACGTAACCTATTGGGGGGGAAAAAAAAGCAAAAGCCAATCAGAAACAGAAATGTGTGAAAATATTTCCAGACTGAAATGGAGACCCTCATGTAACTTGTGAGGTGCTAAAATCCCCAAATATAATTGTGTATGGTATCCTCTGGTGAGCTTTATGACCTCTCTGGCATCTGGTGACCTTTATGTAACTTGTGAGGTGCTTAAATCCCTAAATATAATTGTATATGGTAACCTCTGGTGGCATCTAGTGACCTTCTTGGCTTCTCTGACGTCTGGTGACCTTTATGCCACCTTTTCGGTGCTAAAATCCCTAAATATGATTGTGTCTGGTAACCTCTGGTGGCATCTGGGGACCCTTATGGTCTCTCTGAAGTCTGGTGACCTTTATGTAACTTGTGATGTACTAAAATCCCTAAATATAATTGTATAGGGTAACCTCTGGTGGCATCCGGGGACCCTTATGGTCTCTCTGACATCTGGTGACCTTTATGTACCTTGTGGTATGCTAAAATCCCCAAATATGATTGTGTATGGTGACCTCTGGTGGCATCTAGTGACCTTCATGGCCTCTCCGAGGTCTGCTGACCTTCATGCAACTTTTGAGGTGCTAAAATCCCTAAATATAATTGTATATGGTAACCTCTGGTGGCATCTGGGGACCCTTATGGTCTCTCTGAAGTCTGGTGACCTTTATGTAATTTGTGATGTACTAAAATCCCTAAATATGATTGTGTATGGTATCTTTTGGTGGTATCTGATGACCTTTATGGCCTCCATGGCGTCTGGTGACCTTTATGTAACTTGTAATGTGCTAAAATCCCCAAATATGATTGTGTATGGTGACCTCTGGTGGCATCTAGTAACCTTCATGGCCTCTCTGACACCTGGAGACCTTTATATATAACTTGTGATATGCTAAAATATCCAAATCTGATTGTGTATGGTATCTTCTGGTGGCATCTGGTGACCTTTATGGCCTCTCTGGCATCTGGTGACCTTTATATAACTTGTGATGTGCTAAAATCCCTAAATATGATGGTCAACTCTCGACTTCTGCTTGTTGGCGCTGAGATTCCTGACACCCTGCCAAAACCGTCTATGCCACTTTATCCATGTGTCCCCAGCTGCACAGGTGGAATGTAATGAATGACCCATCCATGCTCAAATATATGTTTATATTCCATGACAATGTACATTCATGATATTTACTAACTAAAGGGATGTACAAGGAATGCACGGGCGCTTCTCCTTTAAGGAAGGATGGTGCTTGTGTCCAGAAGCTTTTAAGGGTGATGATCTACATGAAGCTTGGCTGTTTAAGGAATTTTAAAGAAAACCAACGCATTTCGGGCATTTGCAATCGCTTCAGCATGGCCTACAATAGACATAATTGAAGTTTGTTAACAGGGTATGGACAGGTTTTTCATCGTTGACGTAACCTCACTTGTAGTCCATTCGTTCTTCCTCTCAACCACATTACTGAATCTCTGTACCTCGGCACAGACAGGTACAGGAATCTGCAGGATCCACAGCTCTGCACTCACCATACACTGATCACACTTGCTTTACTG